ATCCCAGTAGGGGTAGATGAACAGCCCAGGTCTCTGGCACCCATGGGGAAGTGGTTGCTCTCATTGCGCTCAGGTGATACAGGATGAGTTTTTGGTCTATTTTTCCCCCTCCTTTTAGCGGTTTCCTCATTCCACAGCAATGTGACAGGAGCACAAAGGCATCAGCAGTGACGTGTAACAGCTGTCACGGCCCTGTGTCCTGCCAGCCAGGCCGCCCAGCCTGAAATCCCAGCTAACTGTTAACAATCCCCAGGCTCAGCCCATAGCAGTTAAGCCGCCTTGCAGGATGGCAGAGCCAGGGCAGGGAGGGCTTTTCCCACCGCCTTGCCCTGCAAGCAGTGACTTCAGGGCACCAGTGTCCCCACACTGCCCTGCAGGTGCCTTTGGCCACCCTGCGTTTCTCCTGTGTGGAAGGAGCCTTTCCAAGGGCTGTTTCCACATGTCAGTCCGTGCTGGGCGCCAGCCCACGATGCTGAGTCCGCTCTCCCAACCTCGCAGTCCCGGCCTTAACCCTGCAATGGGCCCTGCAGGGCCCTGCTGGGCCACAGGCAGGACCAGGGCCAGGGCCAGGCGCAGCCTCCCGCGGACAGGCCCAGCTCCCCGCGGGCAATGCACCAACAGAGGCAATAGCTGCTGAAAACGCCGTCAGACAGAGCCACGTTTATGGGTCATGGAAGAGCAGCAAGATCTGGCAGCAGCTCTCAGCTCAGAGTTGAGGGATTCTTTACAAAGAAGGATTTTTTTCTTTTTTCTTTCTTTCTTCTTTTTTTTTTAGGAGCTTTTCCACAACAGGATTTATTAAGGGATGTTACATAAGAGCTGTAATAACCCTCAGTGACCTCGCTGCTGCTGTGTTGGCTTCTCCTGCCACTCCTACCCTAGCAGGAGCCTCTCCTCAGCAGTGGTGACAGCACCCGGCGCTCGCCCCGGGGCAGTCGATGCGGTGGCACCTCCTCAGGCTCGCTCAAGAGCCGCAGGGGGTGGCCAGGAAGGGCTCAGCATGGCCAGTGGAGGAGAAAAACGCTGCAGCAGTGAAACGCCGGCAGAGCCAGCGTCACGGCACGTCAGGGAGAGCGCGAGGAGGAGATGGTGACTCACAGCACCGCCTGGAGCCAGCCCCCGGAGGGAATTAGTAACGTGAAGGGGGAAGAAAATTACCGTAACTAGAAAATGTTAACCCTTAAAAAAAAAAAGAAAAAAAGCTGCTTTGGGGGGAGTGTCTGAAGAAACACTGAGGCTTAATTCCCCGTGGGTGTTTGCTTCCCAGGGCAGCCTCTCTCGTGCTGGGCTGAAGGGCCCCCTTGAGACACGTGGACCTTCTGAAAGGGAACCCGTGCGCAGGGCTGGTTTGCAGCTCGTTGGCCAGAAATCCTGTCCTGAGATTCGTTGACCTCGTGAGTGTACATCAAGGTGCACAAGGTCAGAGCACCCTGTGTCTGTTGAGCTGGCAGGAGACACCGCTCCATTTGCCTCTGCCCACAGCTGGCTCGCCTGCCCGGGGAGAGCCGCCACAGAAGATGACCCTGCCGCAGAAGTCTTCTGGAGGGGGGAAAAGTCATTTCACTTTTAACAGCATTTATTAGATGTTTTGAAAGAGTCCAATTTGCAGAGCAGATGCTCCAAAGAGCAACAAATAAATGCAAAATGTTGATGTTCACTAAGTGTTTGTACTTGACAAGTCAGTGGGGTCATTGCAGCGCAGGGAAGGGCGATCCTCCTTCTTCCACTGGGCTCTGCCCATTGCAGCAGAAAACACCATAAAAACATGTATTCGTGGGGCCTGGTGAGCCCTGCCACACGCTGGTGGCCAGGATTTCTCCAGAGGAACTTCTCCATGGCCCCAGCTGGTGTTTTGGCCGGGCACGGAGCACTCAGCTGCCCTGCTGCTGAGGGAGGTGCTGGTGGCCTCCC